GACTTGAGGATTTTTCTTCATTGGAACTCATCTAAGGATACGATACATTTCCGTCTGTACTAGTATAACAACTTCTTTGAGAGCCAAAAAAGGTGTCCTAACGCGTCATATAAACACGCTAACCCAACAGTTGGATCTCTTTGCAAATCTGATAGGGCAAAGAGGATCAGGGGACAGCACCGAACTTCTTGCTCAAGTTAGCAGCGCAGAGGTGAAGATCCGAACAATCCGAGTTCACCCGCTACGTGCGAAAGCCTTCTATCTTTGTGCCGAGCAGTAGATAATCTGGGGACGCCTCTTAACGAGGAAGAGCAAAATAAAGTCTCAGAACACATTGACAAAGCGGAAGAGCTTATGTCGCGGGCAGAAGCATTCCTAACAGAGCTTCAAATTAGGAAACAAGAGCTTTCTCCTTGCCAACAAGGACTTCATAATTCAGCGGTTGCGAGATTCGAGCTCCCAAAGATACCCATTCCAGAATTCAGCGGAAAGAGTTGGCAATGGGATAATTTTTGGGAGTTATTCAACGCAACCGTCCATTCTCTTCCACTCCCTGATCTTCACAAGTTCAACTACTTGTTAAGGTCTTTAAAAGGGGAGGCACGTGAGTCGATTTCACGATACCAAGTGACATCGACAAACTACGCCTTGACTGTGAACCATTTGAAGGAGAAATACGGAGGTACGAATGAAATCGTCACTGAACTTCATCGCAGGCTCGAGAAATGGACCGCCAGAAGCAATAGCCTAAAGGATCAGCGTCGACTATTTGACCAAATTTCAACCATAATCGAGCAGTTGCAATTCAAAGGCCAGGATCTGAACAATCCGTGGCTTATGAACAAAACTCTATCGAAATTCTCCGAGAACATCCAGAGGAGCTTACTGAAAGAAAAGGTTTCGGTAGGACAAGACATTTGGACTCTTCAAAGGCAGATGGAGTGCCTCGATGTCATCATCAAGCAAGAGGAATAAATCGAACAACAATTGCCGAAAAGGCTGGACTTTACCGATAAACAAAGTAAACTTGGGAAAGCACCGGAACTGAGAAAGATCAAGAATTCTCCGAACTGCTTTTATTGCGATGGTAAGTCCCACTGGCCCGCGGAATGCACAAAAATCACCGATCCGAAACAACATTTGGAGTACCTGAGATACGCAAAAAGATGCATTAGTTGCGGTTCACTGCGTCACTCGTATGCAGAGTGTAAGTCTCAGGGATGTTGGACATGTGGAAAGAAGCATCACACCTCTGTGTGCTTCAGAACCAGTGGAAGCAGAACGGAGCCACAGAAAACAAAAGGAGTCGCAAAAATGAAAATCCCAACGCGACAGAATATTGCTCTTTGTGAGGAAAATGGAACGCCTGAGGAGATCACTCGCAACTCGTTTGAATATGTAACGATTTTCAGTAAAATGGTTTCAAGGGTGGTGCGCTGAAGAAAAAAGGACAAGAAGAGCACTTGATTGAGGGGTCCACAAACAGCAAACCTTCGAGATTCGATTCCAGCCATGCAAAAGTGCTTTTCAACATTTAGCGGGCAATGGAAAAATCTAACGAGTTGTGCAGGAAAGAATAGGCTATCTAATCCTTCATCAGACGAGGGCCCAGCATAGAATCCATTAGGCTATCGACTCACACCCCAAACACCTTACCATATATCGTTCAGCAGATTTAAATTGTTGTAGCCGAATATGCCCAATAATGAAAGCAACGAGCTCACAGTGATCGGAGAATGGTCTCGATTGGGTGCTGCTAACCGTGGAAGTTAGCTCTGTCTAGGATGCCCTTTAATTGTCTAGGATGCCTAAAAATGAGTGTCGACAGCCAGTTGTACCGTTTATTGATACCCCAAACTTGGGTAATTAAACGAGTAGAACATTTTTAAAAGGTTAAATATGCAAAAATACGAAAGAAATAACCAATAAGATGAAAATTCGAGAAAGATAGATAAAAAGGATTCGTAGGGGTTGTCTAGTAGGCTGAAAGTCAGCGTTGTTGTGGTTTTGCAAGAAGAATGGTATTATCTCTTCTCACCGAAACCATTCATGTGTCGTGGTAGGGTCAACCGTCCTTTGGACGTTGTCCAACGAGGTGGTGGGGGATTGTATTGGGGGGAAAAGAGGGGAGAGGGGGGGTCGTATTTTGCGAGGTACGTTGATGCAAAGTAAGGGAAGGAATGTTTTTCATGGAACGGAGATCGGATTAGGTTGTAGGCTGGGATTTTGGGTTGAGTTGTTGAGTGTGAAAATTTTGCCGTTTCACATTTCGATATATACCCCCCGCTCGACGGGCAATTTGGAGGAAGGAAAAGTGGGCGGGGTTGGGCTGTGTCGACTGGTCTCAGAATCAAATACTATAGAATCGCCCCTATGATGGCGATGGCAGGCGAGGAGTGGTGGAGGATGGCCGTGAAGGGTTCAACCTCTGAGGGGGGAAGGGTCGTAAAATTTTCGCAATTAGTCCAACTTGACGGCTAACCTGGTCGCGGTAGCCGTA